CCCCCCTGCTCCCTCTCTTCTACCCCGTGGATTCGGACCATCCTCCTTCCTCTCGGGGTCGCGACGCAGCGGTGACGCAGGGCAATTCTTCCGCGGCGCGCGGCGCGGTCTGAGCTGCTTTTCTCCTTTGTGCTGCGCCACGCCGCGCACCGCCACCTCTCATTTATCACGCACTTAGCCTCCTCGCCCCCGGCCCTCCCCCGCCGCGGCCATGGCGCTGCCCCACGGCGAGGCTCCATCTCTCCCACACATGCTGTCCGCTGCTGTCCCCAACACACTGCCAGCGCGGCCAAGTCGCAAGCCCACCACCCTCACGAGATTTTTCCTCTCCTCTTCACATTCAAATATTGGGGCTGAATGAGTAGTCCTTTTTTGTTTGTTAGTGTCTTTATCCGTTTATTACATTTTTTAACAGTTGGTTATGGTTTCTCATGCTGACTAGTATTTTTACACATGTAAATATGTATTTTCTTGTAAAGGCAAGAGAAAATTTATCAGAGGAAAAAGTGTGTATCAAATAAGATATAAAGCCATGCTCTCTACTACTTCAAAGTAGATTATTCCATTATTGCCACAGTGAAGCATAATCAAAGCACACAATAATAACTAGCTCAGCTAAGAGAAAAATGAACAAAATTTTATCCGCCCACAGATTTTTTTTACTTGTGAGGAATTTTTATTTCTAATCTTCATTAGAAACAATACAGGGGCATGTGACATATAACATCTTTCATATCAGAACAACAGGGTTTCAAATACTTTAATATTTAAAAGCTTAAAAAAATATCAATATAATGAATACTGCAAAACTTTCGGAATGGTAGATAATCACAATCTATTGTAATACATTATATCAGTGCACATTCTATATTCATTCAGTAGAAAGCAAGTATCTTACAACCAAGCTTGGAGAGTAGATAAGAGAATATTGTGCTAAGAAACTTAGATTCATTTCTGTGGAAGGCTACTTTTTCTTGTAGGGCTCGAATGAGTGAGACCTCATTTCCTCATCTATATGACCCTCCTGGAAGCAACTCTTACAATACAGGTCACGATCACATCCCAAGCAACGTATTTTTGCATCTTCATTGCAGATAGTGCACCAAGGTAGTTCTTCTTGCTGCATTAAAAAAAAACAATTATTTTTTTCAAACATAACATGTAGTGTATGCACTTTAAGTAGTATAGTTGATGAAACTAACATCATTTCCCTCATCCATGATGACATCTTCATCATCAGGTCCATCATTAACTCCAAGGCTCCGTTCTAAGTCAACTTCAGCTTGTACCTAAATATTTTCAATTCAATTTTACAAGTTATTATACCCAAAGAATACTGTAAATGGAATTATCGCACACTAAAAAAGCTCAACCAAACTAACCCGTGATAAAATTTTAGCTGCTGCTTTGTCATCATCTTCATCTTCATCAGAACTTAAATTGGGCTTTTCCTTACTCTGTTCAATCAGACGAGTTCTCAATTTCTCAAGGCTAAGGGAACAATTTTTTTCTTTCAATATAAAAGGCAACTACTGATAACAAACTACTTTGTTATTAATTATCTTTGAGGGTAATGCATCTTACCTGACAACAGTTGCTAAATCAGGTTGTCTACCACTTGCACTAGCTTCCATTTTGCACTGGGCAAGCAACTGAGCAATTTCATCCAAAGTAATTGCTTGAAGGTTTTCTTTGGTATCTTTTACAGATATTGGTGGTGTCTAACACAACATTTCAGGAAAGTAAGTAACAAATGAAAAAGATAAAGATAGATTCAAAGCATAATGTAATACCTGACCCGATGAGCCACGATCTTTCAGGCGATTTAAGCGCTCAGCAATGTCATCAATAGGTGTTGAGATCTTAGCATCAAGATCAACTTCCTCTCTACATTGAGTAAAAAGATCCTGGGTCATTTGCTCCCCAGATCGTGTATCAGGAGCAAAATAAGCCTGAAACATGAGAGAAAATTTCTGATCCAAGTTCTGAAAGATACAACTTATAACTGCTTACTTAAAAACTTACACGAGTAGGCTTATTTGAAGGTTGATCAATATCCTGTCCTCTCAAGAGGGCCAATCGTCGAGCAATGTCATCTTCTGATGGGACATCTTTGACTTGCCTCTCTTCTCTCAATTTTTCTAAGCGTCTTACAATTTCTAAATCAGTACTACTCAAACCTTTCATTAACTTTTGCATCCGTGGCTCAGATCGGTATATGGTGACAGGTGGTTTAAATGAAGAGTCCAAGGCTTCCAGTCTCCTAAAATTTTGAAAAACATATTCAAATATGAGTAATGGATATGAGAAGAGAACACATGTAGCCCAAGAAAAGCATAGAAATGAAACAGTATCTAAGAATGACCCACTTCAGAAACACATCTGGTGGTGCCCTTTGACCTTCCATATTGCTCCCAGCTTCATGTTCAACCGACAAGGTTTGGTAACAGTTTTTGCAAACTTTGCAGACTTTGTTGTCTAATTTTGGAACAGCACATTTATTTTTCAGACAAGAGCTGCAGTAGCCAAACCCACAAGCAGGACAACCATTCTGTAAACAAACAAATTAAATTGTCATAACACAACAAGGGGCAAAAGTTAATTTTCGGCCCAGCCATTGTGTTCACATTTGGTTGTTTTGTTTTGATAGATCTAGAGGGATTTTTCCCACTGACCTCTTTTGTCCACAGACCAAATTTTGTGTAGCACCCATGACAAGACATCTTCTGCTCTACTCCAAATAACCAAGGAAAATTAAGGGAAAATAACTAATGTCAGTTCAATAATGACAGCTGAAAAAATTTAGATCATTTAAAAAACTAAGAATTGGAGAGTATATCAAAGGTGTCAATTCAAAGCTGCACACAAAACTGTCCCAGTTTCCAATGGTGAATCACAACAGAGACATAACCCTGTCGAATGTTTTGACATTGAGGCGTCACTTTAAAAACAGAAAAGACAAACCACGCCTGCGCAGTGCGCACAGCTGTGTGCGTGACGTCACGTGAATGATGTCCCCATTTCTCCCACGATCCACGATCCCACCAAAGTGAAGGGTGAAGGGCATGTGGCCGTGGGGGGGAAGCAGTAATGTTTTGAAACATTCTGGAGAAAAAAATGCGACTCGTGGGGCTAAACGCGATTTTTAAATAGTTGTGAGTAAACTTACCTTTATGGTTACTTTTGTGATAAATCTTAATTTACCGAGCACCATTCGGCCTCGCCTTATTTCTCCGTTTTGATTGTGTTGTACTTCTCCATAAATTTTGTTATTGCCAATGTCAACTCTTAAGTATCATGTCTACGAAAATGCACTTAAATATTTTATTGGTTGCACAAAATCCTCTTGTTTCCATTTTAATCTAAGTGAGTGCAGTACTATGAGAAAATATCATAGTGACTTAGTTATTTTATTCCTGTTTTGATCGTTTGTTAGGTTATGTACATCTAGGTCTGCAAGATTACTCTACTTCACACTTTCATTAAAGACATTAACTATCAATTTTTGTTTCGTTTTTAGATGATATCATCAGATATAAGCACATCACCTTCAGATGTGAAAATTTTTAAATGGACATGCACAGGTGAGTTAATTATTGTACTATCTTCTATATCTTCGTGCATTCTGCTATTTTACAGATGTTTTTACTAGTATGCAACTGTGTATCAAAATTTTTTATTTAGGTGCATCAATAAATATTTCTTTTTGGTTTTTTACTTACCAGAATTTTGTGACTTTCAGGTTGAAAAATGGAGGTGACAGAAAGGAAGGAGATGCTGCATCTCAAGCTTCGTCACAGCAAAAGAGAAAGAAGAATAGCAATAGAGTGCGGCATTCCAATGGATATCTCCAGGTAGTTGCCAGCAGCATGATGTTCATTGCTTTTAAATATTTTCTGTATTTCATTTTTTATTACATTTTTCAGGAATGGATGCATCAGTCAAGATCTTACATGTCCCCTGCTCCTCCATATGAGCAACAAATCAGTCAGTTTGTTGGTCCGTACTGGGAAGTGGCTGGAGCACCAAGAATGTTTGCTGCCATCTCGGATCCCACTGTTTGCCGTTACTCAGTACCCACAGCACCTCCTCCACCAATAGCTTACTCATATGAACCTGTCTCATTACCAATATATCAACCAGCATATCAAGTAAGAGATATTTGGCAATTATCATTTAGTAATAATGATATGGTATTGGTTGATGTTCACCAATAATTACTTTTTCCCCTCAGCAGCCTGCTGTGCCCCCTAGCTCAATTGGAGCATGGCGCTCTCCCCAGCACATGCCCAACCGTGGCATTGTGAGACCAGATGATCAGAAACATGTTGGAAGATCCAATGCGTCACAGTCTTCTAAACGATCAAGTAAACTTAGCTCCTTGAGGGTTAACACCACCAGTAGTCCCCTGTCACCACGACAGAGGTATTGATAATATTTGTTTTTTTGCTGTTGAATGGTGGATTCAGTTTTGCACCTCTTGCTAACCGCCAATGCTTTCTTGTTCACAGTGCTTCTGCTCATGAAGAGTATTTAAGTTTGCCACCTGGTATTGATCAGGACTGTGATCTGGATGATTCTCATCGCCGCTTTAGTGACCCTGGCTTGGCCCGAACTGAATCAGAAACAGTTCCAGTTAACGGCAATGGCAATAACATAAATAACAACTTGGAAGAAGAAAATGAAAGTGGAGACTGGACGCATGACAGTAGCAGCTCATCCGGAGAAAGTGATAGTTATGATAATGTAGCGCTATCAGAACAGCTCAACATCTTAAAAGCAGATAATAAAAGACTTGCTCAGGAACTTCGCGACACACGTGCTGAATTGCACAAATTAAAGCTGCAGGCATCAACTTGGGGAAATCCAGTACAACAAGACTATCAGCCAGGAATGATAGCAGGTGCGAATCATAGAATGGTAAAAGTGTGTACTCTTAAAAGGAACAATCTCCACTTATTTTACATTTTTGTTGGTTTTGTAGATTTGGTTCGAGAAATAAGAGATGCTGCTCAACTTAGGGAGGAAACACTTTTGTCTCGACTGAGGCTGATGATGGCTGATGGTGGGGTACTTCGTCTTACTGGCTCAACAGTGGTTGAAAAGGAGGTATAGCTTTTTCCATTAAATAACTATGGCATTAATTTATTTTTTCCACAATATTGAAACAATTCTCGTTTTCAGAACACTACAACTACAAAAGAACCGAACATAAACTCCCAGGAATCTCAATATGCAGATGACAATCGAGTATGGATCAACTTTTGTATTCTTTTGTTTGTTTGTTATTTTGTTTAGCAAGATTGTAGCTAATTTGCATCAGTTGTATTGTGGGCTAGCCCCTGTTTAGACTTAAACTGTGGTGGTGTCAGTGCACTGTGGAAGGGTGGCAGGGCAGGATACTACATGAGGGGAAGAGGGAAGGGGTGGGGAGGGGCATCAACCCAGCCAGGGTTCCAGGGTGTTCGGTGTCCAGTTACCTCACTGCGCCAATATTGGCCGGTGTAAGTGGATGGGCTCATCAGCTGAGTGGCGGTTGCCGCTTTCCTCTTCTTCTTGACGTCCTGTCTTCAGCAAAGGGTTGTGCTGGGTGGGGCAAGTGCGGGCTACAGGGATTATTCCATTCCATGTCCTGTAAAATTCAAGTTGCCTTCTGTAATTGGTACGGTGTTTTTGCAGGATTCGGAGCGGATAGCACGCCTCGAGAGACAGTTGAGCAGCCTACAGTTACAGAAGTGAGTTGTGCACCCTCTTACTTGTACAATAATTGCAAATTTAAAGATACATGTGATTGTAATCCAACTTTTTTCATATTTGCAGTGGCGGCGAGTCGGTGCGTCGTGAGGAACAACTGAGGCGCGAGCTGCAGGAGGCCCAGGCCGCTCGCAAGATGGCCGAGAGCAACGTCAACAAGTGAGCTCAAGCTTAGGGCTTAGGCCGCCGATGGGACCATTCCTATTCGACCCTCACAAGCTCATGCTTACTGCTCACTCTGCCTCGGTCGCAGCCAGTCTCTTCTCAGCCCATTGCATTCATTTTCGGTGACATGGTGACATGCCCTGCGTTCAAGTGGACCCCCCCACTTTTCCGAAGTCTTTCTTTTAGTTTGATTGGTATTGGAAAGTTGGAACCGAACGGGAATGGTCTCTGACGTTCGGCCAGCTAGGTCTGGTACGGCGTGGCGCGGCGCTACTCTTGGTGGTGGTGTTGGTGGCGGCTGCCGCGGTGGTGGTGATCCCCTACCTCCTTTGAGCGTTTTGCTTGGCCCTGACTCTCACCAGGCTGGAGAAGCTGATGAACATGATGAGGAAGAAGATGAACGGCGTGACGGTGAGCTCGGAGCGTGACGGCGATCGGGACGCAGAGGACCAGCCCCAGCCTCATCAGCAACAACATCATCAAGGGCAGGGAAGTCCAGCGCCGAGCTCGCTCGAGTCTCTTACTTCAGCCTGCTCGTCGAACCACGGTCACCAGGCCAGCTCCGCCACCAGCCCTCCGGGTCCCGTCACCGACCTTTGACGGCGGCCTCCGGCGCAGGCCCGTGGGCAGCCGCTACCGCTGGGCCCCGCCCCCGACCCCACATGGTGGGAGTGGTTGTGCCGGGCCCTGGCGCCCTTACGAGCCTCGCGCCCCACCCTCCTCCCCTGGCATGACATCTTCAGGGTGTGGGTGGTGAAAGCCACGGTGATGTTGGTGGTGGAAGTTATCATTTAACAACAAGCCCAGCCATGCGGAGCAGTGACTAGGGATGACGATTAGATTTCTTAAATTGATATTCCGCTGCACTTTATTAATTTATTTTCCTGGAGTATTTATTCCTGATAGTAGTGTGCACCCAATTATGGCTTCAACAATTTTTGTCTAATGTATCACTGTGTACGTTATTGATTTGAGTGCTAAGGATATCAATAACAAAAATCTTTCATTGGGTTGCTCCACATTAAATGAAGAGCTGAAGTCAAATATTTTACTGAACAGTTGTCAAGTGTAATACAGAGCATAGAAAAATGTCCAAAAATTGAATACCAATTCTGTTAAACTGGGACCACTGTCACTTTTTCACGTTTGTGATGACTGAGATTTCTAAGTGTTGCATTAGCTTTAACCCCACAAGAGTAGGAAGAAATTATCATCATTCCTCTCAATTTTTATCTGGTCATCATTTTTTAATTTCTGGATTATTTTCCGTCCTCTCCTGGCCTAAACAAAAGTATGAATGTCTGGGCCATCATGACTTAAGCTCTCTCAGGGTCTTTTACTTTCATCTATTATTAACAAGTTCTTGTACTTTGTCTTCACTGGGATGGGGAGACTTTTTATATGCCTGCCATATGCTGACACATTTTTAACGTGCCTTATATTTTAGAAGATTTCTTACATCCTTTCAGTGATATTGGAGTTCCTCAAAGTTTTCAAGAGACTTTGTGCTGGCCACTCAAATAAATGGGCTGGCACACATGACTGGCAGCGCTAATTCTTATAGTTCTCTAACTTGCCATAATTGAAAAAATACCGTCTTGAAAAATAAGGCCAAGAGCTTTAAAAACTTACCTTTGCTACAATTGCAATTTTAGTGCATGTGGTTTATTTTATTATTCTTACATTTTTACAAGTTTTGTTTCTCCAGCCAACAATAAGGTTGCCTATTTCTGTGATTTACTGTTATTTTTTAAGGAGTAGTTCTTTGTCTTTCCTTTTTCTGTTTGCAGTTTTAAGCTCTCACCAGTTTTTGTTTCATTAATGAAGTTCAATTTCTATAATTTTCTTGCTTTCATATTTTCCACAATGTGATCAAAGTTAGTTTTCTATTATTTGTTTAATTTAACTGTAGCCATATCAATGAAACAACTGTTAAAGACAAAAATGACTTTTTACCTGTGAGCTCTACTTATTGTATGCGGTTTTAAATGATATGCAATTTTATATGTTGTATTTTATCATGGTTCAAAATGTGCAGACACATTTCTGGTTTCAATATTTATGAAAGTTTAGATATACATTTGCCGCAATCTTCTTTTACTAGAGTGTCCTGTGATTTGATGTATTTAATTCTGTAAAGAACTGATCTGTGTTTTGGCCATGAAATATCTATTGGTTAAATGGGCACTGAAGTACCTTTGATCTGATGTGTTGTGTGTGCCTTACTTTTGCCTAGTCTAGCCATAGGTTTTTGTCTAATATTTAAACATATGCTCTTTTCATTGCTCTTGAAGAGTACTGCACTTCCCACAGCTCAGTCAATGGGAGTCAATAATTGAACGTATATTTATTTAAAACCTGGTGTTAGATCGAAGATTCTCAAACATCGATTTACCACTCCAAAGGCGTTAGGCAAATGTATATACAGTATATTTGGACGTCACGTTGGTGCTCCTGATATTGCTCGAGCTCCCCTGCATATATATATATATATATTTATACATATATCAATTTTATTTTTATTCTTTTGAGTGGTGTTTGATTAGGTTGAGTTATTTTTCCATATCTATATTGCATAACTATAGTTTATTTATATTTTGTGTTCAAGTAAAGCTTTATGTGTGAATGTATTTTGTAGCCAAAATGTTTGATGGCCATTGATATACTATGAAATTTTACTCGTCTAGTTAATGGAAGACAGGTCTGTTCTTCCTTATGTTTTTGTTTTTTCTTGATGGATCTGTTCTTTGTGTTGTAAGATCATTTCTGAAATGCACAAACTCCATTCGTTTGTCAGTGTTGGCAAGAACTTGTGTAAGTACAACTAAAAGGTTAGTCGGTAGATTAGTTTTGCTATGGTTTGTATTTGTCATGACATTGGGGCAATATTTGGTTGTGAAAATATTGGTTGCTTCTTTCTTGGTTGTAATTATGTACTACCCAACAGATGCTCATAAAATATATTGTCTAAATGGCCTTTACAATTTGCCTTAGGGCATTTTTAAGGAGAGGGAGACAGTAAAAACTTAGTCAATGTAATCAACAAGTTGTCAGATGTAAATCATATGATAAGTGTGATAATTGATTGCACTGCTGTGTGTGACATTGCATTACTTTTAGTCTTTTTCCACACAATGACAATAACCATTTGAACCACCATCTGAAGGTAGTATTTTGTACCACTTGTTAATGGATTCCTATTTACTAAAGCTTCACTCCAAAGAATCTGCTTTGTGAAAGTTTGAGAACTCATGTATATATAGATTAAAATAAGTCTGGAATGTAAGCTTTACCCAACATGCAAAATTTGAAAAACTTTTTTTAAATTTTTGTTAATCTCAAAGTTTTGACTCCACCATTATTTTTTTTTAGTGTTTTCCCACCAAATGGTCCGAAAGTGAACACTGAAACAAAAGTATTTTAAAAGATTTTCAAAGTGCATTATATCTATCTATCTGGGTTGTACAATTGGGAAATGTATTCAATGATGAGATCATGGGTAGTTGGGGATTATTAGGAAAAGGCAGGTACAATTGAAATTTGAACAATTTTTTTTATTTTTGTGGCTTGAGACTGCTTTTATTCTCAAAATCACATTTAAGTTTGCTTGTATGAGTATTGAAAGCGGCTCAATATTTTGCTTTGAATTTGTGCACAGGATATATTGATAATTCAGTCAATGAACTCTCTTCTGGTTAGTATACTAAATTGGATCACAACGCCTCAATCCGGTTTTAGCATTAGAACTATTTGACTGATAGTTACGGTTTTATATGTATTTTAGTGCTTATTACCTCTCATAGAGATGAAAGATTTTTATTGAAATGTCATCCTGTAAATTTTCAATCAGTTCTACGTTCTACATCAGGATGATAACATGCACAGCTTATAATCTGACTGTTTCATGTTAATTGTGGTTTGCTTACTCTGGAAAACCTGTGTATAAGTATTCAGTATTTACTAATTGCAGTAAATACTGGATACCTTGGCAAGGAATATACCTGCAGAAAATACCTTCTCTCTTAGTTTTCAATGGAATTTTTGTGTGAACCTGTTATCCAGTAATTTCTGAAACCATATGTGGGTCCATGTTGATATTGCTATTTACTGCATACATACTGTCGGAATACGATAGTGGTACAGTTCAAAAGAAATTCTGTGTACTGTAAGTAGAGGTGGGTATATAAAGCTGATAACAATTGCCAAGTATACCAAAAATTATTTTCTAAAAAGATATTGCTTTTTCTGGAAGAATGCAAATATTTTGTTTCTGCTATGGATTTTTAGACTTTTAATACTTGCACTGTATTGAAGCTTTCCTTGCAACTTAAATAAAATTCAACATGCCAGTTACTGGTTCAAGTGTAAAGTCCCGCACTTCCCAACAGATTCCCTACATTTTTACAAGTTTTGTTTCTCCAGCCAACA